CAGCACTTGCTGTCTCCTCTCTCCTAAAGTGCTCCCTCAAGGAACCTGGGGTCTTAAAGCAGAAGAGAGGAAAGGGGGAGGCTCTATGAGGACTGAATAGCAGTAGCCAAAACATCTTTCAGAAGTAAAGGTGAAAGAAGGGCATTCTCCAGTAAAGAAATACTATGAAAATGTGTCACTAGCAGACCTGCTGTAAAAGAAATGAAAAAACTTCAGATGAAAGGGAAATACTACCAGAGGGAAAGCTAAAATTTCAGGAATAGAGGAGCAATAGAAACGGTAAAAACAGTTACAGAAATAGGAGAATATTTTCTCTCATATACAAGAAACTGGAGCTCTCTTGTATAAAGAACTCATACAAGTTCTTTAAACATGTATGACCAGAAAGCAAAATTTGTAACATTATTTGAGGCAGTTTTCAATGTATGAAGATGTACACATATAACAAATACAGTATAATAGAGGGAGGGGAAAGGAACCTACATGGTGGTACTTACTGTGGCACAATCTTAGTTCTAAATAGGCAAAGCTTAAATATGAACACTGTAATCCCTAGAGCAACCTCTAAAAGAACTATATAAAAATACATAATCAACAACCCCAATAGACTGATTAAAATGAATACTAAGAAACATTCAAGTAATCCAGGAAAAGAGAGAAATAAAAATATAAGGGACAAAGGAAAAACAAATAATAAACTGACAGACCTATATCAAAACGTATTAATAGTTACATTAAATGTAAGTGATCTAAAGACACCAATTAAAAGAGAGGGGCTAGCAGATTGAATTTTTTTTTTTTGGAAGACCCAAATATAGTAAGTCCCTGACTTATGAACATTCAAGTTGCGAACTTCCACAGATACGAACGGAACTCGCATTACGAACATTCGTAGATGTGAACAAATCACGGAAGTAGCTCACATGTCTGCTGGACATTGTCACAGTTGTGCTGTGTGCTTACTGTACAGTGAGATCTTGTACAGTAGTACATCAGAGCCCAGGGTGTCGAGAAGCAAGAGGAAAAGCAGTGGTGATGTGGAGGGGACTGCTAGGAAGTGCAAAGCAATAGCCATGGAAACAAAAGTGAAAATAATTGAGAGATTGGACTGAGGCGAAAAGATGGTAGACGTTGCTTGTTCTTATAACATGAATCGTTCAACCACTGGCTTTACATTGTATATTTGTGTCAAAGGTGTATAAGATTCACTTTGTCGGACTTACGAATGAATCCAGCTTACGAATGTTCTCCCAGAACAGAACTCATTCGTAAGTCAGGGACTTAACTGTGTATGCTCTCTACAAGAAATCTACTTCAGATATAACTAAAAAAGGTGGGGAAAATAAACCACATAAACAATATTTTTTTTAAAACGTGGAGTGGTTATATTAATATCAGAAGTAGACTTGGAAGTGAGAAAAATTACCAGAGATAAAGACATTTAGGTCATGGTTTCAAAAAATCCATTCACCAAGAAGGCAACAATCCTAAATGTAAATAGACCAACAAAATACATGAAGCAAAAACTGACAGAACTGGGGCGACCAGGTAGCTCAGTTGGTTAGAGCACAGTGCTCATAACACCAAGGTTGTTGGTTCAATCCCCACATGGGCCACTGAGATGTGCCCTCCACAACTACAGTAGATTGAAACAACTACTTGACTTGTAGTTGATGGGTCCTGAAAAAAAAACACTGTTGCCCAATAAATAAATAAATAAATAAATAAATAAGACAAATACCATACAATTTCACTTATATGGGGAATTTAAAAAAACAAAATAAATTAACAAAGAAAACAGAAATAAACTCAGGTACAGAGTATAAATTAATGGTCGCCACATGCTAGGGGGCTTTGAGGGAATGGGTGAAAAGGTAAAAGGGATTAACTAGAACAAATTGTCAGTTACAAAAATAGTCATAGAGATGTAACGTACAGCATAAGAAATACAGTCAGTAATATTGTAATAAATATGCATAGTGTCATATGGGTACTAGACTTATCAGGGGATCACTGTAAATAACATAAATGTCTAATCACTATATTGTATATCTTAAACTAATATAATATTATATGTTAATATTGAATAATAAATTTTTTAAAGAGAGAAAGCTAAGAAAGCCAACCTCCCTCTCCCTCCACATGTGAGTGAGACAGCTACTACCAACGTGACAATATGCAGAAAAGCAACTTGGGGCCCCAAAGGCTGGTTCAACCACTGGAACAACCCATCCTGAAGCTCTGGATTTTCTATCTGGGACCTCCCTATCTGTTTAAGCCAAGACTGATTGGGTATTCCATCACTGGCAGCTAAAAACATACTAACTGATGAACATCTACAAATGTAAAATTCTTTACTAGAAACTTGAAAATCTAGAAATTGTGGAGAACAATTTCCTTTCAGATCTTTAACAATGACAATAAATGATGACTATGTTAAGAAACTCCAACACACCAAAATCTTATTAAACAAAGGAGATCCCAAAATAAGGTAATTGGATCAAAATGGAATGTCTCATATTACAAAAAGATTTGACAGTTTTGTCTCCTGAAATACAAAATAACAGTCAAGGATGTCAAAGATGAAAATAGAGAACATGCTCCATAAGATGTTTCTGTCCGACTCTTCATAAGGTAACAGTCAGAACCCTTTGGTAGGGAACTTTCATTAAGAGGCTCAAGGTTAGCCCAAGGATGGGGAAGGAAACCATCCACTACCACCACTCTCCAAATAGCTCCAGGTAGAGTCTGACCCAAAGTTTTAGCCTCTTGTTTATGATTAACCAAATCTCTGGCCTTAAGCCTGAATTCCTAATTTGTACTTGAAACCAAGGACTAAGCTAAACCCAAATCTAGAGTCCAGTTGCAGCCACTGCCGCTCAACCTTTACAGAATAACCATGGAATCTGGGAGCAAAGTGGCCACTTTGGAAGCGCCCCTTCCAGGCCATAGGGCACTTTCCTTCTAGTCAGGAGTAAGGAGAGGGCACTGTATTTGGGCTCCTTTTTCTAGAACTTTCTTGAGTCAGGGAAGGAGAGAGTATCTAGCAGCCATTTGTTCAAGGCAAAACGCAAACCTAAGTGTCCATGGTAGAAAGAATGTGGTCACATGCCCCAAGTCTGAAATGCCAAATTTCATCTTCAAAGGGAAAAAAAACACAAAACCATCCACCAACCAGGATCTAAAGTCATTCACCAAAGGTTCATAAGGACTCAGAACAAAGAACACTAACACTAAGGGATTTACAAAATGCTGTCAGCAAATGACTGTCAGTTCAACCACCTCCAAGTAGCCCTGCAAACCACAATATATGGAATAGAAGAAAAAAGTTTTCCATCAAAGTTTATATAAACTCCTCAATTAAAAAAAATTTTAAACCCTAACTTTTCCTTTAAAGTGTTCTTGCTGATTTGGTGGTATTAAATGTTATCTGAAGTTCAAGTTCTTTGGAAAAGGTTATTTTCTCATTCTGCAAAAATGATTACCCCCTAATTTTTATTGAATCTGAACTATTTTTAAACACATACATCCCAATATAGACCAGTTAAGTTTGTAATAGTTTAAACTACTAGATGATGGGTAAACAGGAAAGGGACAGCATAGTGGTAGCCTACTTCTCTAACTGCCTTAGCATTTGTCTTTTAATATACACATACTCTTGTACACAGCTATAAAAACTGAGAAGATGCTGACAGTGTTTTGTTGAACAGACCAGTTTTAACTATCGTTAGTTTTTTTAATCTTCTTTTAAAAATATTCTAAGTCCAATGCAGAAACCACAGCAAAGGCTTCTAAAACTCACCATCATTCATAATCCTTCCCTCCTATTGACAGTGTTGGTGGTGGGACCATGAGCCTCCTTTGACCTCCAAGCCCTCCAGCTTCACAGTCCTTTCCCTGGGATCCCCTCCCAGTTCCATAGTTTGGCCTAAGTCACCTAGAGCATAAAGGCACTAAATGACCCTTCCTCACTCCCACCCTGCGCAAACACACAACAGTCCTACACGGAGCTTTTAACAATGCAGCAGGGCACCGTCTAGGAGTGTGAAACACCCAAAGAGATTGAACAGACTCCTATATGGCATGTGTGACTAAGCACACTGATGGGAGGAAAGGGGGTGATTCTAGTATATTAGATAAAACTCACAGCAGACTTTTCTGCCCCAGTGTGCCGTCTGTGTCAAACAATTTTTTCAAATGCAAACTCATAATACAACAAAAGGAAAGTTACAACCTAAAAGAATTTTCTATAGTGGGATGATTCTGTGGAATAATTCGATGTGTCAGAAGAATGGGGCCCTCGCGTTTTGCAGGTGACAGGGGAAGTCTGAAGGGACTTGGCAGCGGTGGGATAGGCAGGCAATACAGGCACCTGGCCGCCTTCAGCGACGCATCTGGGGAGCAAAGTTGGGCTGCAGTGGCCCACCTCGGCCAACCGAATGAATACCCGTCACGTTCCCAATAAAACCACTGCCCTCGCCCGATCCTGAATCGCACGCCAGGAGTTTAACGTCCACTTTAGCAAAGGGGCCGAACACCTCAAACTCTGCTCAAAGGAGCACCCACACTTCAGAAAAGGCCTCTACTGTAGGACCTGGTTTTTAAAGTCTTGGTCAAGCAGCCCGACTCCCGTTGGATACGTTACTTTAAAGTGACCCCACCCAGAGCCCTTCAGAGTGACGGGAAAGTGGGACACCACGTCACACCGAACCTCTGGTCCCCACAGACCAAGGCGAGGGGAGTAAGCGGACCCCACGCTGATGCCAGTCCCGGGAGCCAAGGAGGAGGGGGGAGTGGGGGTCTGCCGCAGGTTCTAAACCCCGTCCCCGCTCCGCCCAGAGTCGCGGGCCAGAACACTTTCGTCCCCACCTGCCGACTTCCTGGGGCGCAGCCCGAGAGACGCAAGCCTCGATGCTCCGCGACTGCAAGAGAGGAGCGCGCAGCCGGCCCGGCCCCCGCCCGCACTTGCGGTCCCGCGGCCCCGCCCCGGTCCCGCTCACCTGAACAGCGGGAGTCTCCCGTCTCCGCCCGCGCGCGGAGCACAGGGACGTGGGCCAAGGGCGCTAAGATGGCCCACGGTTCCTACCCCGGGTCCGCCGACGGCTCTTTGTGTCTGGACGTCCAGATGCCGCGCTTGTCCCATCCACCAGGCACCACCAACTCGCCGTCCTCCGGCCAGGCGCGGCTGGCCAAACACGGAGCGGGGCGGGGTGTAGGGCGGGACAGGGCGTGGAAGGGGCGTGAGGAGGCCGGAAGCCGGGCGTGGGGCGGGAACGGAAGTGGGCTGAGGGGGCGGAGTCAGCCGGGAGCTGGCGGGCTGACCAGGGAATGTGAGGAGTGGGGGTAGGGGGAGGGCCTGGGGTTTTATTCTCAGCCTGTCGGCAGTCTCTGGAAAGTAGAAGCCTCAGGGCGTCAATCCCGCAGCTGAATTCGCTGATCTTTGTCAGCAATATTCTCTGTGGCATGTGGCCCTTGGTTTAGTATCCTCTTCTGGGAACAACCTGAGGAGGCTGACTGGGCTGACTAGGCAAGAATAATACCCCAAGTTTGTAGCTGAGGGAACCGGAAGACATAAAATTTCCTGTTACTGTCTTTCCAACATATACTGAATCAATAAATATTTATTGAGCACCTACTCATGCCAGGCATTGTCCTAGGGGCTGAGAATACAGCAGTCACAATGGTGGGAGGGATAACAAAAATTCCTGCCCCTTGTGGAATTTACACTCTGGAAGACAATTTAAAAACGTAAACGAAAAATACAAAAATGTCAGTTATAAATGCTGATAAGGAGAAGCAAAATAGGAGACAGATAAAGGAGTAGAGGAGGTTAGGGAGGGTCAGTGGGAAGGTAACATTTTAAATGAAGGCCAAAAGGAAGTGAGGGTAGGAGACAGGACACCTGAGGGAACAGCTGGCTGATGCCCTAAGGCTAGAGGGTGCCCAGCAAGTTTCAATGTGATAAGGAAGCTTGAGCATGGGAAGTGTGGTGTGTGAGGTCAGAAAGTGAGAGTGAAGGGAGCCGTATGTAGGGTCTTGTTGCCCCTTGTAAAGATATGGCTTATAGTCTGAGAGTAGTAAAGGGAACTTAACAAAATCACCCTGATCACTCTGTGAGAGTGAGTAGTACCAACCCCGGAAAAGAAGATTCCTACTAAGAAGGACCCCTGTTGGCTAACGGGTCAAATTTAACAACAGCCTAGCAGCCACATCTAAACAGGGTTCTCTCATGTAAGCCATGGTTCAGAGAGAAGCTTGCATTAAGCCTCCGGCATTGAACTGGCCTGCCTGCCTGCACTGTGTTCCTGCAATCTGAGCCAACCTTTATAAAGGAGTTCCTAGAATTGTATTTCAACCAATAGGACTGAGACTTTTCCCATCCAATTAGAGCTGTGCAGCTATATCTGCATTAGCATCTTCACTGACCAATGAGAGCAGCTCCATTCTGACCAATCAGGACAGTGTTTTTTGACCAAACTGAGAGAAGTTGGAGTCCTCATTTGCATGAGTATGGACAAATAAGGGACCAGGGGCAGGGACTCCTCTATGTATAAGTCAGCTCCCCTCTGGCTTGGCAGATAGCCAAACTATACTACAAAGCTATAGTAATCAAAACAGTATGGTATTGGCAGAAAAAGAGACAAACCAATGGAATTGAGAGCCCGGAAGTAAACCAACACACATATGGGCAACTAATTTATGACAAAGGAGCCAAGAACATACAATGGGAAAAGAAAAGACTCTTCAATAAGTGGTGTTAGGAAAATTGGAATGCTACATGCAAAACAATGAAACTAGACCACTATCTTACATCATACACAAAAATGAACTCAATTGAATTAAAGACTTGAATATAAAACCCAAAACAATAAAATACATAGAAGAAAAAATATGCACTAAGCTCCTAGACATTGGTTTCAGTGGTGTTTTTGTGACTTCAACTGGAAATGCAAGGGAAATAAAACAAAAATAAACATGCAACTGGGACTACATAGCTTCTGCACAGCAAAGGAAACCATCAACAAAACAAAGACAACCATCTGAGCTGGGAGAAGATATTTGCAAATGATACATACAATAAGGGGTTAATATCCAAAATATATAAAGAACTTACACAACTCAATAAAGAAAAAGCAAACAACACAATTAGAAAACGGACAGGATTTGAATAGACATTTTTGCAAGACATATAGATAGCCAACCTGTACATGAAAAGATGTTCAACATCATTAATCATTAGGGAAATGCAAATCAAAACCACAATGAAATATAATCTCACACCTATTAGAATGGTCATTATCAAAAAGATAAGAAATGAGAGAATGTGGAGAAAGGGAACCTTCGTATACTGCTGGTGGGAGTGCAAACTGGTGCACCACTATGGAAAACTGTATGGAGATTCCTCAAAAAGTTAAGAATAGGACTATATGATCCAGCAATTTTTTTCTGGGTATTTATTTGAAGAACATAAAAACACTAATTTGAAAAGATATATGTACCCTATGTTTATTGCAGCATTATTTACAACAGTCAAGTTATGGAAATAACCTAAGTGTTCATCAACGGATAAATGGATAAAGAAGATGTGGTACATATGTACAATGGACTATTACTCAGCTATTTTAAAAAAGATGTGATATTGTGCAGTTCAAACCCAAGTTGTTCAGAGGTCAGCTGTATATTTTTAGGGACTCCACTTTAAAACATATGAGGAACTGGGGCAAAATGACTGGTCTGGGTAGGAAGAGGTAGGATGAACAGGTTAGGAAAAAGGGGGGGAGGGGACCAAGGGCAAGTGACACTTCCAGGTGCCCAGGAAGGCAATCAGAGGAGACTAGTGAAGAGGTGTGCACACTATGTCCTGGGATGTGAGGTTTTCCTGACCTGCTCTGAGTGAGGCTGGAGCATTTCTGCTATTCCTGGGACCCTCCCCAGCCAGCGAAGAGGCACAGCCCACAGTCCTCACCTCTGTGCTTGGTTTTTACTCACCAGTTTGAGAATGAATTTTGTGTCAGAAGCTGTGAATCATAGTGTCATTTACTCGTTGTTTGACTGTGGACCACCCAGCCATTTAACCTCTGAGGTTCTCAGTTTCCTCATCTGTAAAATGGAAATGTAGAAATACCCACTGCAGGGGGTGAGTGGTTAGCTCAGTTGGTTAGAGCGTGGTGCTGATAACACCAAGGTTGCCAGTTTGATCCCCACATGGGCCACTGTGAACTGCACCCTCCTTAAAAGAGTCAACTATGCTATTGTAGCATGAAAGCAATGTGTAACCAATGACCATGGCAGTTCCCCAATAAAGTTAAATTTTAATTAATTAATTAATTAATTAATTAATTAATTAATTAAACTACCCACTGCATAGTAGCTTACCAAGTTTAAATGAGCTAATCAGTGATTACTCATCTGAGAGGAGTAGGAAGACCAGGAATTCTCCACCTTGGCTATTTTAAAATTTTAAATACCTGGGCCCCATCCCCCCCACCCTTGAGATTCTGACTCAATTTGCTCAGGAAAGAATCTTTGAGTCAATCTTTACAATCTCTCTTATCCCACATTCAACACATCATCATCACATCTATGTGGTTTTCCTTTTAAAAAACTTTTCATTTTGGATTAACATTCTATTTATAAAGAAGTAGCAAAAGTAGTATAGTCTCCATATACTTCTCACTCAGGTTACCCTAATATTAACACCTTACATAGCTATGATATAGCAATCCGAACCAGGGATTTAACATCAATACACTACTGTTAACGAAAGACCTTGTTAGAATTTCACCAGCTTTTCTATAATGTCCTTTTTATTGGTTTCCAAGATCCTATCCAAAATCCTGCCATTGCCATTTTAACCCAAGCTACTATCATTCTTTTTGCCTCTGCTTTTACTTCTCTACATCCTATTTAAGCCTTGTTTCTTAATTATTGACTACTTTTGTAATGTTATAGCTTTGGTTTTCAATTTGTTTTCTCAGTTCTACAGTTTTGCTTTCACCTGATACTGTTGTTTTGTCTATTTATCTTTGAGCTCTTGTTTATCAACTAACATTATGTTCTTTTTACGATTTTATAGAGTATGAAGAACTTGTGGGGAATTTTTTGTTGTTGTTCCTTGGGTTATACATTCTACTAGGTTTGGTTCTTTGTATTTTGCATTCTTGCTTCCCTTTTTCTTTTGCTGAAGAGGAGAAAAGTAACTGTAGCATGTTTGTATGGGTTCCATTGTATTCTTGTCCAAATAGCCCTCTTTTAAAACCTGGTTTTGGGGCCAGCCGAGTGGCGCGTTGGTTAAGAGTTGGCTTGGGACACCAGCTCTGAGCAGCAGGGCCCTGGTTCAGATCCCACATGTGGACCAGTGATGTTGCGCCCTGTACAGCTAAGATGGTGAACAACAGCTCGACCTGGAGCTGGGCTGCCATGAGTCGCCAGCGACGGCGTAGGCTGCAGCGGGGCTGCAGTGGGCTGCCGTGAGCTACGTGAGTGGCTGGCAGCCAGCATGAGCGTCCAGCAGCCGGCATGAGCAGCTGTCCAATGGCCAGGGAGTGACTGCCTCACCTGGGAAGAGTGCAATGATAATACCAACATGGGCCAGTGAAGCAACATCCTCCACAACTAGACTGAAGAACAAAAGGACAGCAACTTGTCTGTTCCCCTCCCCCAATTCCCCAATAAAATTAAAAAACAAAACCAAACCTGTTTTTGCCCTGACATAGTCAGCATGTCCTCATGATTTCTGGCCCACTGTCTCTGACATCAATTGAGTTTGCCTGATGAGCTACTTGTTTGAGGGCTGGGTATTTTTTGATCCCTTTTTATTTTGAGTAGTCTGGTAGCCAGAGAGCAGGGCCAGATGGGGACAGGGCAAGATGAGAGGTTAGCTGAGGGGCGTACAATCTTGTTAGAATATTTGGGCTCTGTTCTCACTTAAAAGGTTTTAAGAATATTCTGTACTGTTTCCCTTGACCCAGAGATGGTGGTTTATCCCTTATAGAAGGTACACTCAGGCTTCAGAGCTATCCACCAATTCAGCATTTTTAAAAATTGCGATATAATTGACATATAACATTATATTAATTTCATGTGTACAAAATAATGATTCAATATTTGTATATATCGCAAAGTGATCACAACAATAAGCCTAGTTAACATCCATCACCATACACAGTTATAATGTTTTTCTTGTGTTGAGAACTTTTAAGATCTACTCTCTTAGCAACTTT